CTCTCTTCTTGTAAGTTACATCGAATCCTTTACTACTTACCCTTGCCTACAATCCCTATTGTTATCCTTATCCATTCCTTCCAACTTATTCTTCCCCCAAAATCCTCTTATTTGTTCTTGTTAGTCTGTCTTGATTCTTTCCCCCCACAAAAAGAAATCTGTATTTTCCCTGACAGTGTGTCATCAATGTGCAGGAAAGCACAACATATATTACACACACACACACACGCACACACGCACACACACACACACACACACACACACACACACACATTTTGCAGCACACCAAACATTATGAAGTGTGCTGGAAAGGCAGGTGCCAGGTCTTCTGTCAGGGAAAGGAGAGGGGGCAGAGGGAGAGCTGCAAGTTCCTCCTGCCCCAAACATAGATGCATTCTCTTTCCTGGCAGTGATGAGTCTTCTGCTGCTAGTGGGAGCAAGGATATGGTAGCAGTGCCTGCACCTGCACCACCACCATTAACACTACTAAACAGCAGCAGCATGACATTCTCCGCCCCAATTTCAGTTCCCAGCATGTACCTTCCAGAGCCAAAGGAGCTGGATCTGGAAACAGAGGAGCTCAGGGCCATAGCAAAGGAAATTCTGGGGAAGGAGGGAGAATCTAAGTTTGTGCTCCATACCCCTCAAAGTTCCCCTAGAGGCAGGTCTCCTCTGGAAGACACTTTGGAGGAGGTTGTGGGGGAAGGTAGCTCAGCTCCTCCTGTTGTTGGGCCTCTGCCTGGATAAGGCAGGATCCCTACCCTCAACCCAGAAGCAGGTATGTAGTATAATGTGGGATCATTTTGAGGTGGCAGATGATCTCAGGTATGTGAGAGCTGAAAGCAGATCAGCTGTGGCAAGGATGTGAAACACTTTGCTACCACGGCAATGCTGCTGCATCTCAGGAGGGAGCATCCCCTTGCCCTTGTTCCTCCTCAGCCTGGCACCAGTGGGAGCATGCCCAAAAAGAAGTCCCCTTTTTGCTCCGAAGCCCGGATCCCCAAGAAGCAGAGGCAGGCCACCCTGGACCATTGGGGAAAGCCACAGACAAAGGGGGGTGCATTATGAAGGCAAGCGAGGTCACCCAGAGCATTGGGGATGAGCTTCCTTGGGATGGTCAGCTCTTCCCCTTTGTTGAGCATCCAGGGTTCAGACAGATCATGGTGCTCATGGCCCCATCATACTGAGTACCCGCATGCATCACCTTTAGCAAGATGGTGGTGCCCTCCCAGTGTGAGGCATGCAGGGAGTACTTGAGGGAGGAGCTGCACAAGGCAGGTCTGCAGGTAGCTTTGCACTTCACCTCGGACATCTGGAGCAGCCAGGGTGGAGATCATGCTTACCTCTCCCTCACACGGCACTGGTGCATTCAGCCAGGGCATCAGTGGGCTCTCCTTCAATCAGAGGTGATTGATGGGTCCTACATGGCAAGGGAGACCATAGTGGCCATGAACCACATGGTGCAGGGGTGGCTCGGGCAGGGCGAGCTCACCCGCAGGTTGGTCATTGATATGGGGGCCAATATGGTCAAGCCAGTGTGTGATGCCAACTTTGTTGGCATCTGCTGTGTGGCACACAAGTTCCACCTCATGGTCATTTCAAAATGCAGGACGGTGGCAAGCTACTTTCACTGGAGCATCAAAGGGGGCAAGATGCTGCAGGACAAACAGGCAGAGCTAAGCACCCCATAGCACAAAATCACTCAGGGTGTGGAGACTCAGTGGAACTCCACTTACCTGATGCTGGAATGGCTGGTCAGGCAACAGAAGGCCATCCACAAGATGGCCTTGGTGGGGGAGGTTGGGATCAGCAGCCTCCTTAACAAAACAGAGTGGGATACCATCTCTTAGATCTTGGTGGCCCTCAAGCCATTCCTTAAGGCCACCGAGAGCTTCAGCACTGGCAGTGCCCTCCTTAGCCAGGTGATCCCCGTAGTGAAGGAGCTTGAGAATGAAATGGAGATGATCCAGGGGATTGAGTCTCCTGGCTGGGGCAAACCGCTTTCACCAGTTTTGATGTTCCTGGCTGGGGCAAACCGCTTTCACCAGTTCCATGTGCTGGAAAGCATGCATGACCCAAGGGTGAAAGGGAGCATCTGCAGCAGCAAAACCCTTGATCACTGGATAGAGGTGCTGGTGAACAGTCAGGGAGACAGAAGGGCAGAGGTAGAGGGACATGGAAGAGGGGGATCCACTTTCCCGAGCCAGCACTCCAACCACAAGCCAATCTCCTCCACTACAGCTGCTGCCAATGTGGGCCAAGGGCATGGCTTCAATGTTGGGATCCAGAGGCACCAGACCCCACCATCAAGCAGGTGGCGCAGAGACCTCAGTGGCTACCTATCTCACTGAGGATGTGGAGTTGCTGCACTGTGGTCCCTTGGCCTGTTCGGCAACCAGCAGCCAGATGTGGCAGGATCTGGCCACGGTTGCCCAGGAACACCTGTCTTGTCCACCAAACAGTGTGCCAAGCGAGATGGTGTTCATCATTGCTGGTGATGTTGTGACACCCCACTGCACCTCCTTGGATGCTAGTTTGGTGGAGCAGCTGTTGGGGGCTTCCACTTGGAAGGAGCCCAGTACAGGAGACAGCAGTTACCCCATTTTCTTGGACCTTAAAACCTGCACGTTCCCCCCAAAACCAGCTGTCGAAAATTGGGGTATGCATTAGATGGGAGGAAAAGGGACCCCCAGAGTTCAGAAATTTGGCAGGAACGGTGGGTGAGGGGGTGAAGCAATGGTAACATTAATTGCCATGTCTCTAGGAGCCATAGCTACTACTCTCCTCCTTGCTGCTAAATTTCCAAACCTGTGGGGAGCTCCCTCTCCAACTGCACACTGCATTAGGCTGGTACATATAGTTGGTCTGTGGCCAGATCCAGTGCATTGTGTCCGGCATACAGCTCTGGACCTGGCGTTAAGCTAACCCCATGCACTAGCTCTGAAACCATGTGCCAGGTCGGACTCTGTGCACCAATGATTGCACACTGGCTCTGGGGCAAATGCCAAGTTGGACCCAACACATGGTTCCAGAGCCAGCACAGAGCCCAGGACTTGGCATGTAGTCCCACACACAGCTTGCTGGGTCAGATCCAGCATGCGGCTCTGGAGCCAGCAAGCAAGGTTGGACATGATGCATGGTGCTGGATATGGCACATGGAGCCAGACCTGATACATGGCTCTGGAGAAGCAGGGAGCCCTGGACCTAGCATGTGGGGTTGGACCTAGGACATTCAGGTATGACCCTGAATGCTAGTTCTGGGTCCAGCCCCATGGACCAAGTCCAACCCTGTTTGCTGGCTCTGGAGCCATGTTCTGGGACTACATGCCAGGTCCAGGGCTACCTGCTGGCTACAGAGCCTTTTATTCAGGCTCCTCTTCAAAATCAAGGTGCATACTATATATGAAGGCATGTTATATGTGAGAAAATACAGAATCTTGCCTGTACAGCCCCCTTGATGGTGAGGTAATGCTACAGATTCTTAACTGTGCAGATCTGTATAAATCACTTGTTTAATCATTTATGATTATTGCAGCCATTCAAAATACATGCCAACAATTTTTTAGAAAACACACCAATTATATATTATTTTTATCTATCCTATATACATTTATGTTGGGGGGTGTTGTATTTCCAGTGAAGTTTTTTGATGTTTTCAGCATTAGCCTAGCTCTTCCTATTGAAGTCAGTAACAAAGTTCCAGTTGACTGCAGTTGGATTGCAATGATGCCATCCCCAAGGAAAATCGTTCCCATGACATGTTAAAAATGCTTTCAAGTTCAGTAGATCAGGTGCAATAAAAAAGACTACAAATAAATTATGCTTCAATATATATACCATGCATCCATGAATTAAAGGAGGTATTCTTGAGAGGAAGTCTATTCTTTTTTTAATCTTCACTATTTCTTATGGTTAGAAGCAATGCTTTTACAAAGTAGCGCAGATTTTCACTTTACCAAAACAAAGAAAAAAAGATTACTAAGCATCTGTGACAAACTCATTTTTTACTAGATATATGTGGAAGAGAAAAAGCTCAGACTATTCAAATGCAACCTGTGTAAAAATGATATGGGCCAGTAGGAAATTATTGATTAAAAGTGCACAGCATGCCTCTAAAATCTACCTGGGGGCTTAAAAATGGGATGATGATTATAACCACTCTGACCTCATTACAGGAAGACTCTTAATAATCTCTAGTAGGGTTCTACTTGAAAAAATAGTGTTTCATCATTAATGCTCTGAGACTAGCTCCAAATGATAGTTCTGTAAATTAAATGAAATCATGTGGTGTGCAAACCAAAGGTTTTTTAAAAAGGAAAGTAACAATTTATTATGGTGTATTGCTAAGTGAAGTGTTGTGTGGGTTTAAGGTTGTGGTGTATACGTTCCTGGTGGCATCTTCCACATAGTATGACAGCATGATGTGCTTAAGTGGCTCTTCACAATCTTATATCCAAGGAGTTCAAGGCATTTGTATTAAATTAATTAAATATCTCACGCAGCTACCCACTAGGCTAAGAAGTTAACACTATTGAAATGAAAAGTATTCCTCATCCTCCTCCTTTTTAGAGGTCTGCCTTTGCAAGGAGCTTCTTTCCTTTCCTGTGCAAAAGGGGTGGGCTAGCCTGCAAGTGAAAAGGGGTGGATAGGCAGAAACAGGAATGGCTGAAATCTTAGCCCTGGTCTGAAGGTGCCAGCCAGTAGGCCTGAGCCAAGACAAGTTAGGAAGCAAGGTATTTTAACAAATGACTTTTCCATTTATTAAGAGGGCAAGAGAGACTGTATTGTGCTATCTCAGGTTGGAGCCAGAAGAAGGTGATACGAGAAACTGAGGTTTATTAATGTTTAATACATGCTTATAGATGTATCTGTTAGACAAATGTATACATTATATTAGGTTTTAGATAACCTTACAGTGTCCCTTCCAAAAAGATGGTATTTTCTTCATGTTTCAGATTCATTACCCCATTAATGGCAGTGCATTTGTCATCTTCTTCTAGGTACTGTATTGGTCCAGCAACTAATGTCAGTGATGATAAGCAAACATGAAGAGCTGTTTCCCAAGGATGCAGACCTTCAGACAAGGCAGGAGGTATGCAACAACAACAATGAGATTCCGAAGAAAATAATCATTGGTCAACTGCAGAACAAGGAGAACAATAACACCAAGGAAACAGCACTGAGGCACTGTTCTTGGGACAAACCAGAGTCTCCCCAGAGGGGAAGCATGAATAATGGGTCTCCCATAGCTCTGCCAGGGAGCAAATCAAATAGCCCAAGAAACAGCATTCAGAAACTTGATGTCACAAAAAGCCCACCTCTCACGGTAAAAAAAAATCCAGCCTTTAATAAAGGCAGTGGCATAGTCACCAATGGGTCCTTCAGCAGCTCTGTGGAAGGCCACGAGAAGACCCAGACCTTACCAATTTGTAAGCTGCAGGCCAGGAGGACATCATTCTTAAAAGGACCAGTTACTAAACTGGGCATGCACAGTGTGCAGGATGGAGGAGTGCGCATGGGCATTTCCAGCACAGATGGGCACAGCAATACTCTGAACAGCTGGACTGCAACCTGGATGCCCAGTGGGTATGTCACTCTTAGGGACAACAAGCAAAAGGAGTCAGTGAGTGACTCTGGGCAGCACAATAGACTCTCCACCTATGACAATGTCCACCAGCAGTTCTCCATTGTGAACTCCGATGATAAGCAGAGCATAGATAGCGCCACTTGGTCCACATCCTCTTGTGAAATATCCCTTCCTGAGCACTCCAACTCTTGTCGAACATCTACCACCACCTGCCCTGAACACAACTTTTATGGGGGTAATTTCAAAGACTCAGTGCTAGATGGACCACGACAAGAAGACCTCTCCAACCAAGGAGACTTTGAAAGTAAAAGAAGCGTTGACAGAAGAAGCGTAGGGGGACACAGCAGCCAGGCTACCAGCAGCAGTGAGAATAGTGAAACGTTTGTAGTGAACAGTACCAACAATCACAGTGCTCTGCACAGCCTTGTGTCCAGCTTAAAGCAGGAGATAGCAAAACAAAAGCTTGAGTATGAAATGAGGATAAAGAGGTAAGAAAGCTTGTCCCTATTGCACGTACTAATTACACATCAGGAAGTGGAGTAACTGTCTTTTGATCCCACACCCAGGTAAATCAGAATGTAGGAAACACTACTAATGATGGTTCCGCTGAACCTATTTAAACAATTGGCACAAGACTTGGTCAGACTATGGTGGGGAGGGGAATCAAAGTACTTCCTTTATATAATTGTGTTTGTGTACCTGTGCACTTCCTGTCCCTTGCCAAGACTGGATATAGATGGGTTGGTTTGGTATAGTATTAACATTGCTGTTCTCATATTGCTGGTTCAACTATAGTAAATACCAGGATCTTCATGAGGGGGATCTGTTTCCATAAGATTCCCAGTCTAAGTCTACAGATCCAGGAGGCATAGAAATTTCACAGAAGGCCAGCTTCTTAACAATGGAGTTTGCATTCAAATCAAACTGCTAAATCCTTTGGCACTAACTGGCCTACTGCATTCAGCACTGGCTTGTACTAAACGCTGCAGATAAAGTAAAAACAAAATCTCCAGAGAACTGGCCAATTGTGCTATAGAGGAGAATTTTATTCTGAAACCAGCTAGTAACCATTTCATGCCCTAAAATTGTAGGATGGAAAGCACTTATAATTCGATTTGGTCAGAGTACTGGCAGATGCTGTTTTTATTCATATTAAGTGTCTTCCTCCAACTAAATGATCTCAGTTAATAATGTCCTATAGTAATGCATCGTATAGTTTAATTCAATTAGCATAAAATGTTATTCCCTTTTATACACAAGAAATATTAAAATGTGCTGCCTTTTAATCATTCTGACAGATGCAAATTAAGTTCTTTTTATAAAAAGGTAGAGGGTAGTGACTTACAGTTGTAGAATTTCTAACATACTTCCAGTAATTGGACATCAGAAAAGCTGCAAGCAAGGCAGAAAACCATATTTTTCTGCTTTTCATTTTTTTAAATATTAGTATTATAGGGTTAACCTAGCTGTCAGGTTAGGAAATGTGGCCTGTTTTATGAACTGACCTGTGTCACCTTTTTTGTGTTAAAAGCTCAGTTCAATTAGCCCTGAGCCAAAGGGCATTCTGTCATAAATGCCATAGCATACTCTTTCAGGCAGGGCCACTGTAACTGGTGGGACAGCTCAGGTGGCTGCCTAAGGTGGCAAATTGAAGTGGATGGAAAAAATGATGTGCACATACCTTGCACATGCTCATTGGCTGCCAGAGCATCTCTATGGTTAGCACTTGCCCTGGTGCTGAAACATGCGGCCAGCCAGGCTACATGTTTCAGCACCAGGGCTCCAGTGCCAGTGAGTAAGAGGTTGGGGGGGCGGGAGGAGGGGAGGACCCCTGACGGCCCTGTCCACT